CGGCTGCTGTGTGTGTTTGTTATAGTTTAGTTGCACACTGTGTGTCTTCTGCTTCGTCCGTGTCGTTTTAACTGAAGTCAGTTATGCAGTACAGTATTAAAGCCGTAAATCTGCCTCACTGCTCTTCTCCAGACTGAATAGTCAGCTTTAAACCTCAGTGTGAGGAAAACATTGGTACCTGGGATCAATATGAGAAAGCATGTAAAGTGTGGTCAATAAGACTCTGAACAGATTTTTCTGCTTCATTGGCATCATCAGAGCACTGGCACCCTCTATCGACTGATTACAAAAAATGGTTATTTATAAAGCCTGAAGAACGATTTCTCAGTCGGTTAATATTTACTCAACGAATTAGTCTTTTTCTAATAGACTGGTTTATTTACTGACAGCAAACCTCGATTTATTACTAACATAGAATACTGTTGTGGAGTTGATTTTGTTCTAAACTCATCAACTGATTGATTTTTTTTCTTCACATCTTTGGTCTAAAACTCCAGCAAATTTAAATCAGAGTGAGAAAATCAGAAACAGTTCAAATCCTCATATACGAAAAGTCAGAATTAGTGAGATCAACATTTCAATTCAGCAATAAAACAATCTCTTGATATGTGTCCTGCAGGCAGGGCTGCAAATGAGGATTACTTTCATCTACTCAGTATTTACTCAAATAAAGGAGTAGTCTGTGGTTCTGAAGTCCTGAGCTCATATGAGACACTAAATCTAAGAAGCGGAGGTATATGGGCTTGGTTTATCACTCAGGCAGGAGCACAGGCGTCTATCATCGGTCAAACAAGAGCTACACAAACAGAACAACAGCACAGATCCACTGTAGTCGACTGATTCTGCATTTCAAGAAACTTTTCTCAACTACTCAGGCTACCCAACCAAAGCAACTCTCACATTTTACATACAGCAGACCTACAGTAACTACAAAACATGAAATGAAAACTCACTGGATTAAAACAGACCTTCAACTGTTGGGCCTATAAACTCTCAGAAAACATCTAAACATGTCCATCAAAGCTGAAGCTGACAACTTCAGAGAACTTTAGTTTTTGGTTTGTTTGTCACCTAAAGAGTCTCAAAACGAGTCCATTCACTATCATAGAAGAACATTTTCACCAGGGCTCCAAACTCATCGGGTGTAACGCCAACGCTCCAGTGGACATGGTGGCATGGCCAACGTTTTGATATCGGTTATCACTTTAACAAAACTTTTTTAAAATTAGGATTAAGATTAGGACTAAGTTAAGGTGTAAAGGCTTGGTAAATCTTTCAATAAACTGGAAAACAAAACTAAAATCTCTTGAAACATACAACAGTCTGGAGCTACAGACTTCTTTGTTTTTCCAGTGTGCTAGTTTGTTCCAGGTCTCAATCCTTGTAAACGGCGATGTGAAGTACTACAGCGTTCCCCAACCACCGGGCCGCGGACCGGAACTGGGCCACACAGAAAGAAAAACAACAATTTATTGGTTTGTTTTTATTTCCTGCAGGTCTGCAGGGTTTTTTATTTTGAAAAATGACCAGCTCGTCTTCCCGTCGCATCCGTCTGCACTTGTTTCTCGCACTTGACTCTTATTAATTTTCATGCTCGGCGGTTAAACGAAGCCGTCGGTCCAACCGCTGCCAGAATAAATAAACAAACAAACATCTCAGGAGAGCTTCTTTGGAAAGTGGGAGAGACTCGATACTGAGACGGAAGAAAAAGTAAATACATATCCAGCAAGTAATTTTATTGATTTATGAAACTTTTTAATAGAAAAAACAAGTATTTTTTGTTGCGGTCCGTAGAAAATGTTCTTGCTTGAAACCGGTCCGTGGTGCAAAAAAGTTTGGGGACCACTGAATTACTGCACATGTGCTGAGGAAAAAGTTCTAAAAAAGTTCAAATCTGAGTTACAAATTGGGAAAAAAAATCACTTTTTGAAATGTTTGCAGATGTATATTTTCACATTACAAACTCTCAGAGCTGAGTTCACAAAATTCACTTTTTTTTTTTAGTCTGCCCAAACCTTTGCCACCTCGTGAATCATGTGATTTCTGGCAACGTTGCCCTAAAGCTGTAAAAAAAAAAAAAGAATAGAAAAAATGACCAGGATCCTGGAAGCATTTGTCTCAACCTGTTGTCGCACCGCTGAAGTACACAACAGTTGCAAGTTGTATTTGTCGGGTCGGAGGGATTGATAAGACGCTCCACCGATGACTGATGAGCTCAGGAAATG